GAGTATTTTTCTAGCAGCCACATAGCAAGAGGAGAAGGTGAGTTATACATCCTGATAATGATAGAACAATTATATGCAAATTGCAGAGCATTAAGGGAATTGCAGAGCATTCGAGATAACATCAGTTAGCATTAAACTTTGATTTGATCCTTCATTTGACTTTCCATTTCGGCCAAAGAGATTTGTAATTTTAATAATGACATACTATTGTTGGTATCCGCATTAATTTGAGATGGCAGCAATGCACTGATCACCCAAAGTGGCCCCATTTTGTGTGCAATTTCTCGGTTTACATGTAATTATTTTTCTTAACGTGTCAATTTTAACTAACATAGACATTATATAAATTGGTAGAGCATTTAGGGTATTGTCGATGTCCCGGTCTCAACGGTGCAGTCCGTTTTGCGATCGGACATCATTTGGGGAACTTCGAGACCTCTTTCCTCAGTATATGTGTTTTGCGTCGAGATTCATGCCACCATTATGGATACTTCAAATTTAATAAAAAAATGCAATTTTCGGAGGTTAACAACATTCTGGACGCAATGGCATTGTCTGTTTGCCAATCCGACATCGTTTCGTCACCAACGAGACTAATTTCCCTCGTAAAGCGTGCCTTCGCATCAAATTTAGATTGCCTTTAAAATCTGTGACACCACCTCAAACGATCCAATTTGATCTAATAAAATGTAGATTCTTAATGAAGACGATGTTCTGGATGCAATGGCGTTGCCCGTTTGTTGATCGGACATCGTCCGAGCATCTTCGAGGCCTCGTTTCCGTCGTAACGCAGGCCTTTATATCATATTAGCATCACCTAAAAATTCACCACCATCTCAGATGATCCATATTTATTAAATAAAATGTATATTCTGAATGTCGACGACATTCCAGACGCAATGGAGCTGTCCGCTTGTTGATCGGATGTCGTCCGAGCATCTTCGAGGCCTTGTTTCCGTCGTAATGCAGGCCTTTATATCATATTTGAATTACATAGAAATTCGCCACCATCTCGGATGATCCAAATTCATTAAATAAAATATATATTCTGAATGTAGAAGACGTTCCGGACGTAATGACACTGTTCGTTTGTCGATCTAAAATTATTTGGGCGACATCGAGGGCCAAATTCCTCGATATGCGTGTATTACCTGGGGTTCATAATCGGTTTCAGCCTAGCTGCCATAACTTTAGAAATGATTTTGTACAGGACATTGCACAGAGCAATAGGCCTATACTCATAGATATTGGCTGCATTATTATGTTTAGGAATAATAGCCAAAGCTGTAGATTTAAGTCCTTTAGGAAGTAAACCTTTAGAGAAGAAAGGCTTAATAGCCCTGCAAACAGTAGGACCAAGGATATGCCAAGCAGATTTGAAGAAATGAAAATTAAAGCCATCAGGGCCAGGGGCAGAAGTGGAAGAGCCCGAGAATACAGCAGTTTTAATTTCCTCATCCGTCACCGCCGAGATAATGGAGGAAGCAAAGTCATCATTCAAAACATTACCAATGGGAAATAAATCCAGATTAGTGTTGCTCGGAGGGATAGGATTGTAAAGCTCTTGAAAGTAGTTGATAATAGTAGAAATCACATCCTCTCTAGAATATTGGGAGTTGCAGGCTAACAGATTTTGCACATATTTCTTACTTCCCATTCTGGTCCTGATTTTGGCATATAAAAATTTAAGGTCATCTTCACCATGACTAAGACAATTAACCTTAGCCCTTTGTATAATCCAAGAGGCTTGCATAGAAGAGAAGTTAGCCAAATTGACATTATTGGCTTTAAATTCTTGGTTGAAAAGAGTGTTTGTGGAATCATTATGAAGTGCCTCCAACAAATCCTTTTGTTTCTTATGCAAAGAATCTATATGCCTGCTAACACAAGAAGAAGAGGCCCAATGCTGAGATTTGATGATATTTTTGAAATTTCTGAGGGTGTTGCACAGTTGTGCCAGAGGATACCCAGTGGAAGGAATAAGAAGAGCCTCAATAAGGAGAAACCAGTATTTGTCTAATTTAGTCCATAAATTTTTAAAAAGAAATCTGTGCTTAGCCTGAAAATGAGTCCCAGGATGAATGAGGATCGGAGAGTGTTCAGAGCAGGATGGGCTTTGAAAAGAGCAATAGGAGTCAGGAAAAGCTTTAACCCAAGCATCATTTACCAAAGCTCTATCAAGCTTAATATGAATCGGATTATCCTGCCTTTGGTTAAACCAAGAGTACTTGCAACCAATGGAGTGGAGATCAAAAAGGCAGTTGTTAAAAATCATGTTATTGAAATCTAACATAGCAGCCTGATTAATCGGAGTCCCACCCAATTTTTCAAAAGCATATCTGCAGCAATTAAAATTCCCTATGATAGCCCACGGGATGGAATCAACAGGGGCCACAGAATTAAGATCTTCCCACAGAGCTTTACGTTCAATATTACTATTTGAGGCATAGACAACAGTAAGTTGAAAGGGGGTGAAGGAAGCACCCGATACAATCCCAGAGATTTGTTGAGAGGTGGTGACATAAGGAGTGAAATTAACTTTAATTGGATTCCACTTTATCCAAATTCTTTCAGACAGAGATAAATCGAAATTGTGGCAACTCTCTTCATTCGGAAAAAGAGAGTGAGAAGACTCAAAAAACTGATCACTCAGAGAGTGAACATGAATCCTGTTTTCCAATACACAGACCAAGTCTAATTTAAAAGAATCAATTAGACGTTTAAAGCACAAAACTTTATCAGGCCGGTTAAACCCACTGATATTCCACGCAGCAAGTGGTGGAATAGACATTAAGACTTAGATTATTTTTGGGATTTTTTAATCTGCTTCCCCTTAGCAGTTTTCTTGGACACAGTGTTGGACTGAGAAGCTTTAGACTTCCCATATTCCTTCTGAATGTATTCTCCGTCCCCATCATCAAGACTAGCTGAGGATAGCCCCTCAGACCCAACAAGAGCATTCATGTGTGATACGGATTCATCCTCAATGGCCAAAGCACCAAATTTATTCGGTGAAATAAAGTCTTTTTTAACAGGGGGAGGCTTGGAACATATAATATTAGTGGATGATGAGGCGGCTTCATTGGGAGAATTTAAGTTAGGAATTCCCGAAACTAAAACCCCACCAGCAGCTTGTGAGTCCTTATCATGTTGGGCTTGTAGATGAACATTAGGGAGAGAGGTAGCTTTGAAAGGTGGCGGGGAGTGAGGTTGATAGTGAAGAGTTTTTTCTATCACATTGGAGACCGCAAGACCAGGGTTGGGATCACCTATGACAACATTAGAGGGGTCGGGAATATCAGATTGAGCAGCAGGATTACTTTCAGGATGATGAGTATTAGATTTGTTGTGTGAAGTAGGCTTCCTACTAAAACTCCTTCCACGTTTTTGACCATTCTCCAGCCCAATATCCACACCGTTTTCAACACCAGCCACATCCGGCTTAGAAGGGCAAGAGGAAGAAATATGCATTAAAGACTTACAGTGAGCACAAGGGAAGAGGCGCCATTCGTATTGTACCTTCAAGCACACAACATCACCATCCAGGGAAACCTTGATCTCCTCCGGGTAGGTAGCATGGCAGTCCACTAAAACGCAGATACGAGCAAACGTGAGCCTGGTCTTAAGCTCAATCAGGTTGTTGGCTACTATAGGAACACCGATCTTACTTGCAATTCTCGAAATCCCTTCCGAGTTCCAGCATGCAAGCGGAAGATCGTGAATCTTCACCCAAATCGGAACTGTCTTGAAATCTTCTTTCTTTGGTTTAAACTTCGGGTGCCATTTTTGCAAAACAAACGGCTTTCCCAGGAGAAACCAAACCCCTCTCGATCATACCATCTCAAAATCTTCGAAACAAGAGAACCTCAAAAGGAAAAAAACCTTCGCTTAAAGAAAGAAGCTGAACCGAACCTTTCAAGCTCCAATTCTTTTTGATAGCCCCCAACAATGCATCATAATAAGGCCTTCTCCCAATATAGTAGCCGACTAAACATAACTTCCAGTTATCACCACCCTGATGTAATTTTTCCCCCGTGAACGGAATAATATCCGGTTCGTCAGGAAAGTGGGAAAAATTAAGAGCTTTTGGAGTAGTATTTTCGGAGGCGAAAACCTTACTCCAGTTTCTCGGAGCAGAGCTAACCGCTCTCCCAGCGGAAAGTTGGGGAAAGCCAGACGAGAGAAGAGAAGCTTCCATCGGAGAAAGCAGAAAAGGAGACAAGTCCTCCGGCAACGCCGGAGGAGGAAGCGAAGAGGAGAGGAAACCAGCAGAGAGCGGGAGGGAAAGGAAAACCCTAGCCGCCCAACTGAAATCTATTGTTTTTTATTAAATAAATTTTAAATGTTATTTGAATAAAATTTACTTGTGATTGACTTTAAATAATTAATCCTCAGTTAAAAATATTAACATTTTGTGCTGAAGAAAAATTTGAGACATATTTTCCTTTTAAACAAAATAGTCGGCGGTTCTTATTTCATCCGCAGCCACTCGGCTTTGTTTCTCCAGCAGCTGAACCGCCCTAATGGCTTCTTCCTGGCTTGTCTGCGCTCCCCCCTCTGCAATCCTGCAGCTTCCCGGCTTGAAAATCGCTAAACCTATTATATTTTCGATCCCAAAGCGAAGAATTCCAGCGAAATCGTCTCGTT